GTACATTTCAGGAACCCCAGTGGATGCCGAGAACCAAAGCCAGTGCCGAACCCTGTCCACGCTGTGTGTTTTCCTGTACATACATATGTACATACATATTTGCATGCATGCATGCATGCATATGTGCACACATAAGATAAAGTTTGTGTAAATTAGGTATAGTAAGAGGTTAACAATAATAATAAAGCAAAACATGGATGACAGTATTCTGCAATAAAAGTCATGCAAAGGTGCTCTCTCCCCGGTAACTGGGCGGATGCTGGGTGGGAGGGTCTGCAGTATGGATACGCCAGACAAAGAGGTGATTCATGCTCTGGGCAGGATGGGGAGAGACGGCATGAGACTTCATCACACTGTTCCGAAAGGTGTGCAATGTAAAAGGTATGAACTGTTTATTTCTGGAATTTTCCACTTAATGTTTTCACAGTAACTGCAGCCTCAGAAAGCAAAACTGTGGTTCAGGTGGGGGGGACTACTGTATATATGTAATTTCCTATGGAAGGAAGATGTAATCTTTGTCTATGCTTCTCCTTCCCAATAACTTTTAAATTTTTTTTCTTTTAGATAGAAGTGAAGGGAGGGAGAGAGAGAAGGAGAGAAACATCAATGTGTGGTTGCCTCTCGAGTGCCCCCTACAGGGGACCTGGCCTTCAACCCAGCCCTGTGCCCTGACTGGGAATCCAACCGGCGACCCTTTGGTTCGCAGGCCGGCACTCAATCCACTGAGGCTCACCAGCCAGGGCATCCCTCCCAGTAATTTCTAACTTCAAGAGTTGGTTTCCACCCAAAGCAACAACGGAGCAGAGAGCTGAGAGGAAGGCAAGGCCCCAGCACGCTCTGTAATGCCCGTGTGCTGAGGGGTTTGCTCCAGACTGTGTCTGGGGATGCTGGAGCCTTGGAGACTGTGCGCCTTAGCCTCCAGCTCCCAGTTTGGACATGTCTGACACTTCTTGATGCCAGTAAAGTCTGGAGCCACACCAAGAAGGGAATAGCCTTGGTCAAAGCTCTAAAATCTTCTTATTCCTGAAGCGTCCTTTCTGGAGCATGTGTTTTGTCTCGAAATTAATGCATTTAGGTAGAGGGAAGGCCATCCTGAACAAAATTAAAACTTTCCCCTCCAAAACCCAAATCCTGTCATCCCTAAGGACCCTTCTTCCAGCAGCACCAGCCCCCCCGGCAAGTCCCAGTGCCCTTGAAGGCCGCCTCTACTTCGTGGCTGAGCGAACCATCTTCGGTTTGGGGGCAAAGCTCGGGAAGTGACTTGGAAGGCATGCCGCGCTCTGCCGCAGCCACCAGGGAGGCCCGTTTGCTGGGGTCCAGGCTGCCCGCTCTTCCCCTTCCCCTGACCTCGCCTCAGCAGGAGCCTGGGTCCACTTCCTCTCCTTGCTGCTCCCTGCCCGACTGTCCTCTCCACAGAGCCTTCCAGAAGGGACTTTCCGCTCCCATGGGCAATCACTGTCCACGTGACTGAGCCTGTGGACCCCATGACACTCACATACCCTTCTGGGTGATAGTTGTCGAATAAGCAAAAACAGTTCCTGACAATGCCGACCCCAGCCTTACTACAACTGCATCATACAGCCTTGGGCTTACCCACGAACACCCAGGGAACCGGTTAAAACCCAGATCCGGAGCCCGTAGCTCTAGGGTGCGGCCAGAGAGCCTGCATGTCCCACAAGCTTCTGGCAACACCAAGACCTTACTTTCAGGGGGAAGGTACAGACCTCAAGGTCCCCGAGGCCCGTGCCTGAAGTTGACCTTGTGTCCTCCGATGTAGCATGGTAGCTGGTACACAGAAGGGAGATGAGAAGAGAGAGTGCAGATTATGGGTTTTCCAGTGGGTAAGTTTTTGGTGCTCTTGATGTTCAAAAGCGAGACCGGCACAGGAGAAGCAGGCGTGTGACGGAGGCCGTGGCCAGTACTCTGAAAGAAGGCTCCGTCCCAGCTCCTCTGGCGGCAGCGGGGGCGGGAGGGGGGTTCTTCCTAGCTCTCCACAGATGGCCTCTTGGTCCTCAAGGCTTCCTTCCTGTTTGGCACATCCCTGGGAGAGCGCCAGGATCCTCTCAAAGGCTTGGGAGCTGTGATCACTGCAGAAAGCAGGCCTCTGATCACACCTGCTTTTATCTCGAGTTCCCGGACCGAGCGGGGTGGCTCCCTGTCCTTGGAGAGCTTCTGATGGGCAGCGCTTCCTTTGGAAAGTGATAGAACTCTTCTGCCTGCAGAGTTTGCATTAAAGCCTCGAGACCCTCGGCTCTTTTCATCTCTGCCCCTCCTAATTTATAAGACAAAGCCCCGAGTGTTTGATCTCTAAAATACATCTTGCCAACAGCAAGCCGGTCCGGGGAGCGGCTCATCAGACAGGGAGCTTTCATCTTAAAGAGCGCGCAGCGCCGGGGACGCCGGGCGGTGAGCCTGTCCGCAGGTCACAGGGAGTTGTGCCCGCGCACATCCTTACCGGCTTTAGAAAAAACACTCTCTAAATAAACAATAGTTTCCAGCGGGAAACTCCCCTAATCCCAAGCCACTTTGAAAATAGAAAAATGAAACAAATAAGCCAGAAAATTGTTCTAACACATTGTTAATACCTACTGTTATACTCAACTAGTATTATTTAGTTGTATTTTTCTGTCTTTTTTCTTCAAATGTGCCTGTTTTCACGTGTATACTAATTTTTACATAATTCTGATGCATGATATGTATAAATGGTATATGCTGCTTTTTTTCACTTGAGATTTGATCTGTCATGGGTATTGTCCACGTTATTATAGCCTGTATCACCATCATTTTCATTTCTGCATAATATTCCACGAAGTGGATAGGCAACACTTATTAACTCAGTTACTAATGCAGTTAAATGTGTGAGGCCTTTTAGTTGTTTCAAAGGTTTTGCAAATACAGTTGTGCTAATCATGTAATTTAGCAAGTATCTCTCTTTTTTTAAAGATTTTATTTATTTATTTCTAGAGAGGGAAGGGAGGGAGAAAGAGAGAGAGAGAGAAACATCAATGTGTGGTTGCTGGGGGCCATGGCTGGCAACCCAGGCATGTGCCCTGACTGGGAATCGAACCTGCGACACTTTGGTTCGCAGCCCGTGCTCAATCCACTGAGCTACACCAGCCAGGGCCAGCAAGTATCTCTTTACACATGGCATACCACATCTTCAGATTACCCAGTGAGCTTGACACACAACAGATTTATTAATCCTGACATTTTAAAAGGATACGGAACCGGGGGACACAATGAGAGCATTTACCAAAGGGTCTGGGCAGCAGGCAGGGGGCAGACACGCCTGGGGCCTCAGCCTGGGAGAGGGGACCAGGCGGGAGACCCCCCACTGCCAGAGTCCCAGCCTTCTCGTCTGCCCTGGATAGTGCCTCCCTAGCAGGACTGAGGGGATGACAGGGAAAGCCCACGAAAGCACTCAGTAGGTGCCGGTCCCCAGGGAGCACTCGGTCAAAGCCAGAAAACACTGCGGTGGCAGCCACCAGAGCGGGCTGTCGCTGGGCCTGGGGCTCGAGTGTCCTGTGTCCGGGCATTTGAAAGCCGTCCACTCTGATACGTCTGCACAGCACCCGACAGGGAAACATCTGCAGAGCCACTGCTGTTCTGTGAGTGAAAATTAGCAAAATGCCAAACGGGGAGGAATCTGATCATTCGGAAGCCTGTCTGGGATATTGTTTGGCTAGTAATGTCTGGGTGAGTAATAAGAGTGAACATGTACATTTAAAAATTATATATTTATTTAATAAAATTTATTCCTTGCCTTTGTTTCAGCAAGATAATTAACTACATTCTTACAATCAAGATTGTCACATTCTGTGATTCATTGGTAGCCTTGACCTAACAGGTTAAAAATAAATGTAATTCTGTTAAAATATATGAAATTTGACTATATTTTCATCAATACATTAATGTTACAAGTTAAAATTTAATTATCTTAGGTATGTTTTCTGAAAAGCTATTTTTCTCCCGAAATACTCAAAATGATCTATTGCAGCCGAAATGCAAAATACAAATTACTTAGGAAAGATCAAAAGTTGACATAAAAGCATTTAAATAGATCTGAAAGGTTTTTAAATGTTTTAAATGATTCAATTCCACCTTATTGCATGTTTTTATAAAAATAGCAATGATCTGCAATTCTAGGAAAGTCCGTTTAGTTGTAAATGTCAAAAACTGGTTTTACACATCACTTGTTACATCTAGAACTATATTGTACACACAAAAAAATAAGAGAAATACGAGTTGTGTAACATTGCAGAATGTTGGCCGAAACACACACACAGCTGTTGCATGCACTTGTGTGACCTTCAGTCCCCCAGGGCCCTGCATCGGGACGCGAAGAGACCGAGGGAATGGGCCGGTCGGTCTGCTGGGAAATGAGCCACCAGGCAAGACTCGACTGCCTCCCTGCTGCCGCAGAGAAAGAGCTTTGCAAAGTGGTGCAGTGGTCTTTTCTCCCTTCCCAGCACTGGCGCTGCTCAAGGCCTCTCTCCCCAGCAGAGCCGTGGTCACTTCTGAGGGTGGTCGTGGTGCCCGCACGTCTTCTCCAGTGCCTTCTCGTTCAAGGACAGCAGATGGGAAGAGGGGCCTCTGGGGCCCGAGCAGAGTTGGCCACAGGAGTGTATGTTGAGGATGACAGGTGGCTGCGTCTGCACCGAGCACTACTCCTCGAGTGATGGAGTGCCTCTGTGTATTTTGGTGCGTGTGCGCGGGGAGCCCTTTAAAATGTGAGGCCTGGGCCAGGGCCTCCCTCAACCATCTGTCTGCAAAGGCAGGTTTGTGATAAAGACACAAGGGATGCTGCGGACAAATATTTATCAGGATGAGTTTTCTGCAGCGTGCAAACGTTCTTACAGATGCCGTTATCCACATTTGTTCCTCACTGACTTTGAATCTGTTCTGTAGCATTTCTCAATACTTCACCCCTCCTGGGTGGCTTAACTTTGAAACACTGGGCCTGCGCCAGTTTTGACATTGACTTGTGGGAGAGTGTGGAGGAGAGGAGGCCGCTCCTTTCTCACCACCTGGGCCGGTTCCAGGATGTGAGAGCCAGCCCTGACGCAGGGCTGCCCATCTGGGGAGAAGTCCCCCGTGACATGGCGGGGAAGGACAAAAGCCCGGAGGAGAAGGAGCAGGTCAGCTGGCCCAAATGCAACTCAGGCCGCCGCTGAGCATACTCACAAACCCTGAATCTCACCCCTTTTGCTTATTGTCTCAGAAGCTTTACTTCCGAGCTTTACTTCCTATCAGAAGCTTCCAGCCGTTTGTTAGGGGAACTCGACTCCAAGGAAATGGGGGGGAAGTGTCTTTGAATGCGAGACGGTTATTTTTGCAGCCTGATAATAGTATCGCTGTCTGGGCGCTGGGACTCTGGGCGGGGGTGGGGTGGGGCAGCGGCCTGAACTGGTGGGGAGAGGCCCCAAGTCCAACCCCACTAGCCAGCAGGGGTGATCCGTAGCCAGTGGTCTAGGAAATGGCAAACGGTTGTGAATCCTTTTAGTAAAACATCCACCTTTTTCTCCAGAAGTTGTCTGCACATGTGCCTTCTGTTTATCTTTGATTTCTGAAGAGCCTACCCTGTGTCACTTTAGGGTCCCCCTACACCTTGGGTTTGGTCCACTGTTTGAGTATCATCATTTCAAAACTGCAACTTTCTTTCTCGTTGGAGGGTAAAGCAGGGGCCTCATCTTCCCTCTGCTACTCCTTGGGCTTTAAATCATTCTTCCCAAGAACGTTTCAGGGAGTGTTTATTATGACCGGATAATTATATTCTGTGACCTCGATATCTATGGATTTCGGGAATAGAAAGACTGGTGGGATGGCAGGGAGAAGGGGAAGAGGATGACAAGGGTTCCCCATAGGAGGTGACAAGTCACTTCAATCACTCCCTTGTGCGAGCCCACTGTGCGCCTGAGCTGGTCCGGTGCCGACATCAGGGTGCAGCTCCTCCTGAGCTGCTTGCAAGTTAGAGGGAAGCAGGACGGAGCATGCAAACGACTGTCCTGTCCGTTACGGAAGGCCAGCGTGAAGCTGGGCCAGCGCAGCCCAGGCTGCCAGAGCTCTCCGTCTGGGTCAGGACTCGTTTCCGGAGCCTTTGAAGGAAAGAGAATGGGCAGCATCCCAGAGGCCAGAAAGAGCTAGCTGCCCCATAGCCAGGCACAGCCGGCGTGGATCTCAGCCATGCCAGGAGCGGGGCAGGGGGGGCGGCCTGGGACGTTCGGGCGAGACTCGTGTGCCCCCCCAATGGGAGGATGGTAAGTCTGCCAGCAAAGTGCACAACAGATTAAAGCGAAAGAGGCAGGAGAGGAAGAGGCCGCCGGGCTTTGTGGTGGCACCTTGGGAGGGAAGAAATGAGGTCTGAGCTAAGGGAAAACACGGGGCACCAGCCAAGGACGCGGGGATCTACTGGTTTGGGTACGACGTCATCAAAACCAAAGGCCCCCCGCTCCTGCGCACGCCCAGGTCTTGTGTGCACGTTTCCAGCATGCCTGTTACCCAAAGGCCATGACGTCAAGAACAGGATCTGCCACGCTTGGGTGCCAGGCTGGGGCACCCTGAGGCGTGGTCAGGGGTAGTGGACGTTTTGCGAGGAGAACAACACAACCTGTTTTGGGCCGAAGGTCGAGGTGACTCCCCTAAGCTTGGTTAATGAATAGCAGAAAATTCCAGCGGACCGCAGGAATGAAAGAAAGAGGGTCAACATGTGGGTGACAGTGCCAGAGACTGGGTGGGCAGAAGGAGGGCGACACCGGGACAGGTGAGACTGCACCTGCCCCAGGCCTCACTGCCACTCATTGCACGAGGCACAGAGAGGTGTGATTAGGGTCTGTGTTAGTGGGGGCAGCTGGGGCCCGAGTCTGAGGCTGCAGTGTGCATGCCGCACATCTACTGGGGAGTCCTTTGGGGTCCAGCGCCTGCTGGGGAGTGGAGGGAGCAGAGCTGGGGAGTGGGAGCCGTCAAACTGTGAGGCTGCTCAGAGCCTCGCCCAGTCCCTTGGGAAACCTGGGCTGGACGACCCTTGGGAGTCGGCCCCAGTAAGGCTAGACCACTGGGCCTCTGCGCCCAGCAGTCACCGGATGTGGCCGCTCCCAGGAAGTCGGGGGAGAAGGACCGCCTGGCGGGGGCAGGTTCCAGAGTCTCAGCTGTGGGAGCTCAGCAGCCACGCCCTCAGGCCCTGGGGGAAGGAGGGCCTCCATCCTGAAGGAGAAAGTTGGGAGGCGCATCTACTGCGCCTGGCCAGTAGATTCTGGAGGTTTGCCACCTCTGTTTTGAGACTCCTGGGGTAGAGGCTGGCAGAGGGACTACTGTCACCCAGGACTCTAAGCTCAAAAAGCTCAGGTGCTGCAGAGCCAGCAGGTGGTACAGAGCGGGCAAAGGCCTGGTGAGGGGTAGTTGAGAGTAGTGTTGAGGGCGAGGGGGCTGGAGGCAGAAAACTTGGTTTGCAGTCTGTCACTTACCAGCAGGTGACTTTGGGCATATGACTTCATCTCTTTGTCCCTCAGTTTCTTCATTCCTCAAATTAGGGACAAAAATAGTACTGACCTCATAGAGCCGTTGGGAAAGTAAGAGGGATGATGCATGCAAAGTGCTTGGTGCTGGCCCGGAATTAGAGGGCACCTCTTAGTGCCACCCTGTCACTGACAGTTTCACCAAACTTGAGGAAAGGCCTTCAAAAAATATTGGGGGCTGGAGTTTTAGCCCAAGAGGGAAGTCAGATCCAACTCAGAAGCAAGAGGTGTGTGTTCATGCAGAGTGGGGAACCTCAGCAAATGCCCAAGAGGGGGCTTTTCCTTCTGGCTTCTTTGGGTTCTTAACTACATGACTCATGGCAGAACCATCCCTATTAAAAATCCAAGAGTTACCCTGGCTGGTGTGACTCAGCAGATCGAGTGCCAGCCTGCAAACCAAAGGGTCACGTGTTCGATTCCCACTCAGGGCACATGTCTGGGTTGTGGGCCAGGACCCCAGTATGGGGTGTGCAAGAGGCACCCACACATTGATGTTTCTCTCCATTTCTTTCTCCCTCCCTTCTCCTCTCTAAAAATAAATAACAAACAATCTTTTTAAAAAAATCCAAGAGTTTTCTTCATTTTACCCTATTCCTATAGTTACATTTAATGACAAATTAAATTCTTGCTCTGTTTTCTCTACCTTGAATCCCAAGTCCTGGCTTTACCAGCTGTGTGGCCTTGCAAACGTCACAACCACTGTGACCTTCAGTCTCCTCCTCTAGAAAAGAATATGAATAACACCTGACCTTGCTCGGTTGCATTTGGAAGTAGTTTGTGAACTATAAAACGCAGTGCAGACGCCGCTGCAACCGGGGGTGGTCCCCTGATGGCTCTGGTTTTTGGACCATGATGGTCATGACCAACAGAGGCTGGAGAGGACAGCCACCAGGTAGTCAGCATGGAACGGTGAAAGTCTCTGGTGGAAACACTCTCTTTTGTGCCTTCACGTGCTAAGGGTCTTGTGTGCGCATGTGCCAGGCCTGGTCCGGGGCCCCAAAGGTGCAGATGGACACGGGACATGCTCCATGTCCTGCAGGCGCTCACGGCGGCTGCGTGGTCGTGGGTGTTAGATCCCACAGGTAGCATGCAGGACATGTGAAGGGTTTGCATGCGCCCGCCCACCTGCTATCCCCCAGCCCCTAAAGCACCTAGGTAAAGCCCTCGTGGGAACATCGAGGTCCTGCCAGGTGTGTGCCATCCTGACCTTCGGCATGATGGGCGTGGCCTCGGCATCTGGCCCAACACCTCGCCTGTGGGCTGTAACACCGAACACGCCGGACGTACGCGCATGCGCAACCTCTTTGCTAAGTCAGCTTTTCATGAACAGGAGTTTGAATATTTAACAAATTTTAATGTATCAATCTTTTATTGGTATTGCATATCTTTTGTTGAGGGGGTGGGGTCTGGCTTTTAAAAAAAACCTCTCTCCCCGTTCCATGGTCAGAAAGTTTGAAAAGTTGTCGTTTGACATTGAAATAGGAAATTTAACGAAAATCACCGTCGACGTGTTCTGTGAAGTAAGCATCCAGTGTCTTTTTTCCCCAGGTGTGTACATGTTTGGAGGACATTTCTGAGAGGAGAGGAAATGCGAATGCGTTAAAAGAAAGAACAAGCAAACAGAACTGGGTTAGAGGTTATAGGAGGTTAAGAGGAATCAGCCAGTCCCCAGAGTTTGTTAAGATGATGCCCTTCAGGCCCGGGGTGATGGTGGACACCCCCCTGCCACCCTGCCCTCTGGGCGTGTGTCACTTTGGGTCGAATTCAGTGTCTGCGTTGATTGGTCTGTGAGCCGGGTTGGATCATGCTGGTGAGAAATAGCATTTACATAAAAACCACGTTGCTAATCTGCCCATTCACCTTAACAACGCCTACAGGGTGTCTGGCGCTGGCGCACAGAAGGAATGAGGACGACCCCTGCCTTCAGGAGCTCCCAGTCTGAATAAGACACGGCCGCAGTGGTGTCCTCACCAGGTGGGAGCCCCTCGCCCTCCTCGCACCTTCCCAGTGTGCACCCTTCTCACTACGCTGCTCACTGCGTGCTCACGGCCCCTTTACACGTCCAGTGGAGATCCAGCGCAGACTCTGGGGCTCCCCCAGGGTGCACGGCTGCTGAACGCGGGGCCAGAAGAACACTCTAGATTTTTCTCTTAGTCCCGTGTTTTTTCCACTATGCTGTCTCCTGGTTTGATCTCAATTTTCTACAGGCTTTTGTATCAGACACTTAAATCTTCCCCTTAGTTTGTTTCTATCTCTCCACCTAGGGATCGGTCTGTATGCATCCATCTACCAAAATTGATGTGTTCCACCCTGGCTGGAGTAGCTCAGTGGATTGAGCGTGGGCTGCAAACCAGGCATTGCAGGTTCGACTCCCAGCCAGGGCACATGCCTGGGTTGCAGGCCATGACCCCCAGCAACCGCACACTGATGTTTCTCTCTCTCTCTCTTTCTCCTTCCCTTCTCTCTCTAAAAATAAATAAATAAAATCTTTTAAAAAATTGACCTGTTCCTTGTCCACCCATTGTGTACACACCCATTTCTGTGTGTGGATTCGTCTGCCCGTTCCCCTGCCTGTCCGAGTTGCAGAGTGGGGGGCGAGGAGAGGGTTGGGGGTAGTTTGAGGCTGCTTGAAACTGGCCAGACCCTCAGCTCATGGCCCAACGTCAAGTAAGCTACCTCATCTACTTGCACATCGGTAAGATGAGGGGTTTGGACCAGATGCTTCGTTTAAAATCCTTACCAAAGGCTACGTTTTTAGTGATTTTAGAGAGAGAGGAAGGGGGAGAGAGCAAGAGACAGAAACATGGATCGGTTGCCTCCCGGATGTGCCCCGACTGGGGATCGATCTCACAACCTAGGCACGCGCCCTGACCGGGATGACGCTCCAGCCCGCTGAGCACCTGGCCCAAGCTGGGCCAAATCCTTTTTAAAGGATAGCCAAGTTTTAATATAACGTCCTGTGAACTTGATTTTTCAGAGTGGTGTCTCACTCAACACTGTTTTATTCACTAATAGGTGACCCGCCTCACCTTTGCGCTCCTTCTGTCTGCAGCTACGCCCATGCTCTCTCCTCACTTGAACGGGGGAGGGGGTCCTCTTTGATTGCAACTGAGAAAAACAACCCAAACTCCTGCAAACACGAGACTCTAATTGGTTTACGTAGTTGAAGCACTGGGTTGATAATAGATCTGAAGGCACGACTAACAGAACCAGGGCCTCTGGACTGGAGCCAGGGATCCTAAGTGGCTGTGCAAACTTCCGATTACCTTTTTCTGTTTCTCTTTATCTGCAGATCTCATTCTCTTATGTCCAAGAAAAAGGCCTGTCCACACGCCAGGAAATAGGGCCCCTGGCAGCCCTAGGCAAGCAACTCCAGCAGAAAAATGCTTCCTCACGTCGTGTGTGCATCACTCAAAGCAAGGACGCTGGCTGACTGTCCTCCGCGGGGACCGCCTTCTGCTGGGGGGCTGGGTGATTCTGGCCACGGGCCCTTTCATCCACAGACTGAATAGAAGCTCGTGGAGTAGGATAAGGGCACTTCTCTCCCCACAAAATATGCTGAATGGACAAGGAAAAATGCTCTTTACACCCACTGATCAAATAATAAGTTTCCCGTGGGCAGAAAAACCACGTTAGAGAAACTAAGGCAGAATGATGGTTAGGATCACAGGCTCTGGAAACAGCTTGCCTGGGTGAATTCCAGCTTCGCAGTTACATGCTGTGGGACCTTGAGCAAATTATATATCCTCTTTAAGCCTCATTGATTTCATCTGTAAAATAAGGAGAACACTATTGCCTGTGTCAATAAGTTACTGTGAGGATTAAGTTGGTGTAATTGGCAAAGCAGAAAATAAGGTCGGCTATTATTACTATGACTACTGCTACTACCACTGGTATTAAGTGCATACAGCAAGTATATAATAAGTGATAGACTCCGAACTAACAATGCCTTTGACACCTGACCTAGAGCTGTCCCACCTCCCCACTAATTAAGGGCAGCTGAACACTGGACAGTGGCCCATGATGTGGCCGGCCATGGACTTCAGTTAGCGGATTGCGATGCTTGGCTTGTCCTGAGCCACGAACCAATGGCTCTGCCTTTCTTGTACCTACTATGGGCCCTATCCGACAGGAGAGGAGGCTGAGGCACAGAGTGATGAGCTTGCCAGCGAGGTCACACGCTCTCCTCCAGGGGGCTTGCTGGGGGCTGGCCAGGAGGAGCAGGCTCCGGGCTCCCCTGCGAGACAGATGAGCCTGCTGTCTCCCGCCTCCCTGCACTGGCCTGCTAGGTTGCTGGGCTCACGGCTGGCACCCCGCCGTTTGAAATGCTAACGGACGGATGTCAACAATGACAGCTGGCAGAGAAGAAAACAGAAAAATGCAGAATTCAGACTGCACCCAAATGAGGGTGAATTTGAAGTGCTCTAGATAAGGTTCCCCAGCCTGTCCCATCCCCCCCCCCTTCTGCTTAACCTGACAATTGATTTTTGAGACAAAGGAAGAGCAAAGGTAGAGCCACTCAAAACGTTTTCACTGCGATTTTTCACCACCCAGGAATTGCGCAATGCCTAGGGTGTGTTAGGTCACCCAGAGACCTGCTTCTCTGGGTTACTCAACCCCGCAATCTGGCAGCCTGCTTTGGATTTCTGCAGGGTGTCTCACTGCCCTTGCAGCAGGACTGTGACTCAGCCAGCTGAACACTCCCTTTTCCACAGTGTGACATGTCAACCTTCTTTCATTGCTGTGACATGTTTCTTGCCCTGTGGCCGATAAACAAGGCAACCCAGTCAGGAAACCAAAGCGAATTCCCTACTTCTGAGTCAAAGCGGGACGCCTGCCAGCCTTGACCTAGAAGACATGCTCTTACACCTCACTCAGTGCTCTCTGAGGCAGAAGGTTTCTCTTCTTCACCGCCCCCCACCCCACCCCTTCCCGCCTTCCTGGTCTAAGAGAACAGGGCTGCACTAGGGAGCTATTTTTACCTGAAGAACCAATCCAGGGGCAAGATCTTTTGTGCTGCATTTATCAAAAGAGAGAAGGTTTCCATCGCCGATGTGTTTTAAACGCACTACTTGTTTCTGCAAGGTTTGACACGTCTGGTGTGGGCAGGAGGGGGTTCTGGACGATCTCGCCGCTGGGCTGCTGTGTGAAGGTCGTGGAGAAAACGTGGTCGAACCGATGGAAAGGCAGAGATTTGAGCTTCACTTTCCTTACCTGGGAGTGGAATGAAAAGTAACTCCTGTTTGGTTTGTTGTGAGAACTAATAAGAGCATACGCCAAACACACATAACTGCATCCCTGGTGGACGTGAGGGCAGCCTGTCTTCCCGGCTTCCCGTGAAGCCCTCCCACGAGGCTGGTTTCTGCCTCAATGGTCCCAAACGGATAAACAGAGGCTATTATATTTGCCGCTAAGTCATGTTTTCAAAAGCTTGAACTAGTGAAAGTACGAATTAGCACGACGTTTCTGGAGGCAATATAGCATTATCTATCAAATATGGATACTCCCTTCAATATAATCGTATTTCTGAGAATTTGGGATAAGCAAATAATCAGGTGTTATTCACACACACGTTAATCATAACATTGTTTATAGCAGGAGAAATACAAGCAATCTGACAAACCCAACAGATGGGTGAGGTGCATTATTACACATCTATACTGAGGAGGACTATCGAGGCAGCCATTAAACGTGATATTGTAGAAGAATACTTATTGTTACAAAAAAAATTTATTCTGTATCACTAAGTAAAATGGCAAACAGCAAAGCAGAATATACTCTTTGATAAATATAAAAAATATAAATATAAAAAGGGCACATATACACGTGGAAAAAAACACCAGGAGGTACATACCAAAACCCTACCCATAGTTCCCTATAGCTGGAATTCACACAATTTTTGTCGTTTTCCTTTCTGCTTTCCTGTGTTTCACAAGTTTTCCTCACTGAGCATACTTTATTTCTTTAATTAGGAAAGAATGGATTTAAAATATGGCTGCTAAACAAATCTGGTTTTCAAATGAGCGTGATAGTTTAATCCACGATTTCTATCTTTAAAACGCTTTAGAACAACTTAGAAAAGAACACACGATGTGTGCCCAGCAACAGGCCAGAGGAAACGCCTCAGTATGTGAGCAACATTATCTCTGAGTGGTGGCTCATGGGTAATTTTATTTTCCGCCTTGCACTGTTTTGTATCTTCAAAATTTCTACAATCTGAATGTATTATTTTTATAAACAGGAAATTCTGTTAAATGTCTGTCGAATAACCATGATTTATTAAGAGTAATATTTCATTAATGCCTTCTACGAGTGCTGGTTTGATTTGGGCTTTTCTCTCAGCTGAATTTAATTTATCCTGCCGCGAAATAAATTGGCTCAGAGGAAGCCAGTTCCACAACGTCCAATTTGAGCAAAGTCTTATTTTTCCTTTCTAAAAATCGTTCATTCATATTTCAGGGTGATTTTCATTTGTAATATGGAGTTATTCAAAGCCCGGGCCCCGAGATGCCCCGGGTGAAGACAGTTCCCGCTGGCGAGCCTGGCCCCACAGGATCCGCAGCCTGATTCCAGATCAAAGGGCCTCCGGTAAACGCATTAGCTTTAGACGGCGACTCCTCCCCGCCCCAAGCCTCAGATCGACTGGACGCTTGCCCATCCGGGCTGAGACCTGTCGGCGGCTGTTTTTGGAGCAAGGGTGTCTCGAGGTCACATCCAGAGCATAGATTTCCACGTCTGGTGAAGCAACCAGAGTGTGTTTACCAATGTGAATGATATTTTCAAGGTCAATGCTGGGATTCTAGCAAAAGAAAAAAGTAAATGGTGTTCCGGACAGACAGAAAAAGCAAACAAAATCACAGGTCTGTTGTGGAAGCTGTCTGTGCCTCGGACAATTTTAGGGGTGCCCCTCTCGACCCCTCTTCCCTGCGCACCCCATCCTCTCACCAACAAACTGGCTCTCACCCCATAAATACACAGGTAAACAAATTGGGGACCAGATTACCTTTCCCCCTGCCTTTCTTAAAGAAGGGTTATTTTTGTATTTGGAAAACAGCTCTGGACGCACATGAACAATGCTGGCACCTTCTTAGAATGAACACCATTGCAGATAAGAAAATGACAAGCCAACAAAATAGGCAACGTATTTCTTGCAGTTGGTGGGACCCCGGTGACGCTGTGCTCAGGCTGGAAAGCTGGGAGCCACCCTCAACCCCTCACTCTCCTCCACGCGCACCTCCCCTTCCACACCTGCCCCTCGTGTGTCTCTCCACCACCCCTTCTCCCACTGCCCTTGGTGTCCCGGCCTGGTCCTCACAGCCTCCTGGTCGACCCCCAGCTGCGTGCAGACCTGCTTTGCCCAGAGGGCTCTGGGTGGAATGCAAACCTCACTGCTTCATTCCCTCTCCATTCCCTCATCCTTTCCTTTCTGGGAGAAAACCCCAGCTCCTTGGTGGGGCCCTTGGGGACCTCAGCAATTTAGCCACTGCTCATCTCTTTGGCCAACTCTACTGGCCCCCCTCAAGCCCAAACTTCCTGTCCTTCCCTGGACCCCAGTGGGTTGGGTTCCTGAGCGGCAGGAACCCCGTGCAGAATGAAGCAACAGGGCCCCGTGTTCAAACACAAATACAAAGATAAAATTAAAAAATTCAAAATGAAGACCACAGGCTTTCGACTCCAAGCACAGGGCCTGTGAGACTACGTGGGTCGCATGACCACGACGCCACCCGGACCTCAGCTCGTTTCGTCACAGTGTCCCTGCTCCAGTGGGGCCTGGCCCAGAGTGTCCCACCGTCCTCTGCTTCTCCACTGCCCCTCCTCCTTGTCCCTGCCCGGAAGTCTCCCCAGGTTCCCATCCCACCATCCTGTGCCCCCACTGCGGACGCCAGTGATTCCCACAGGATGACTCCCCTGATCCCCCCTCCCCTGCCACCTACCGAGTAAGCGCCGGGGGGAGGGATTTAAGTGAATCTGTCCCTCAGGGGCCCGGGCCGAGGCATCTGCGAGTCACAAGCAGATCTGCGTCCACAGAAAACACCGAAGTCTGACCTCTGCCGCCCACCCCCAGCCTCCTTGTCAGGATCTGCCTTCGGTGCCGTCCCATAACCCCCAGCCCAGCGCCCGCACTGCGTCAAGACTGACCATCGTCTGTTGGCCAGAGCCCATTCCAACCTCAAGCCTGCCCTCCTCCCACGCCACCTTCCCGCTGTCCTCGCAGCCTTGCCGGCTGGGCACAGCCCGCAGGTGACCATGCGGCTGGCACCTTGTGGACAGAGCCGCCAGCTGGCGTGTGTTGGGTTTTGGCCTCCATTATCCCGAACCCCAGGGGAGGCCCTAAGCATCTGCCTTGGCTTCCTGAGGAGCTGCTGGAGGAGAGCGAAGTGCTGGCTCCACAGCTGGGCGCGTGAGCGAGAATCTCATTTTCCCTGCTGTCGAGAGCCCTCGAGTGAGTCTCCAGACTGCCGGCCGAGGAGCCGGCAAACGACTGCACCACCAGGCCCCCAGCCTGCCGGCATCTCCTTCTCTCAAAGAGGGGACACTGGAGCATGAGCTAAAAGCCAGGGCCTGGCACTGGCCCGTGTGGGGCCCAGAGCTGGAGGGGGCAGGGGTCTGTGGCTGGGTTGGCCCCGGTCCTGGCCCCAGAGTCAGGAGTGCCATTACAGAAGTCCCGAGAGCTGGGCCCAGGCCTGGCAGAGCTCGGCCCCTGCCCCCCCTCCAGCCCCAGGCTCCCAGAGAGCGCCCACAATGCCACAAAGATGACGATGACAGACAACTGCAGCCCCGAGGCCTCACGCTGGGGGATCTCCCAAAACGCTGGCACTTCTTTGCAGGGAGGGAGGGAAAGAGGCTGCGTGGGG